GCATACACATATATGGTATCGCTGCGAACGTCAAGAGGTAGAACATTTATTTTGGGTTGTTCTGTGGTGGTAGGTTATGGTAGTAATAAGGAACAAACAGCTAAATTAAAAAAAATATATTTTTTTTTTACTCTTTTGGGACAGTTTTCCTTTGATAATAAAAAAAAATCAGGAGATAGCTATTACCATTTACCACCAAATGAAAGCCAAATTTGTCCTGAAAAAAACAAGGTATAATTCACCTGGATGTACAAAGTAGCTGTGATGATATGTATGGTTTTAATAACACATGTCACAGTTGTAATATTTTACTTAGGCTTTAAGATTTGTTTTACCCTTAGACATGAAGGGGTTAAGAAAACAATTGCTGCAAAAGTGATGGCAGAGCTCAATCTCAGTCCTGTAAAGACTGAGATTGAGCTCTGCAATAACTTTAGCAGCAGTTGTTTTCTTATTCCCGGTCACAATCCTGCACAATGTCCTTTTGTCTCTTTCGGTCAGTTGACCATGTCTACTATGCTTATGCTTATCAGACAACATGTTCCCAGAAACTGTATATGCCATCATAACCTTTGATACTGTACCTCGCGACATGGCAAATAAATTGGCAACTTCAGCCACAGAGGCATCAGCTAAGTGGGCACCAACAATTTGCTCTCTTTGAAGCTAAGTAAGTACTGACACGACTCCGTATTACTAGCAGCGCACACAGTGAATGACAAACGTGAGGCTGTCCACCTGTTATCTAGGTGTCTCATCACACAGCGGAAGCAAAAGAATGTGTGTATGTCATTGATGTTGTCCCTATGTTGCATGGCATGGTGCATCTATAGCATCTAGGCATGGTACAATGTACTGGGCACTAGAGTATAGTCTTGGGTAATGTTTAATTTAAGATTGAGCACAGATAGGCTGATGCCTACACCTATTGAAGAGCATTGAGCATTAGCACAATCCCTGTTCTCAAACATGTAACCACTCTCTAGTGAGCAATATAAAATTCTTCCAAGGACTGTGCAGTGTACCATAATATTTTAGGCTCCAAGGTTCAGAGTAGTGCCCAAGGTAATTCTAAGTCTTAGCTGCACACTAGTACCCCACATTATGAGAGACTACCCTAAAACGAAGCCCTCCAGCAGCGAGCTGTCACTGCCGACAGGGCTTCCATCTTCACTCGGTCTTCATTCAGGGTTCGCAGGCTCCGGTTGTTTGACTGGTCAAGCCACGATTATGTCACTCCTACACATATGATCGGGAGTTATAGCCAGGTCACAGAGCTCTGAAGGAACAGTATCAGTATGTCATTCCTTCAGAGCACATGTGCTGCTGACGTCACCGGTTGCTGCTCACTGGAATATCTCCTAAATGGTGCACATTTAGAAGATATTCATTTTACCTACAGGTAAGCATTATGATAAGTACCAGAAACAAGTATACTACCACTTTTTAACAAGACATGAACACGTTGTCAGAAAGTGAAGTAAAACCATATATGTTTTACAGTATGTTTACCATAAATATAATTTTATTCACAGGTCTTCCCAAACTCATTCACAGTTGAAAGGACATGATCTATTAACCCTTAAAAACTACAGTGCTGAAGAAATCAAGTATCTTCTTTGGGTTGCAGCTGATTTGAAATACAGGATAAAAGAAAAGGGAGAGGTGAGAAATGGCAACAGAATGTTCTGTTACCACTAAACCATGGTTACTGAGAAAAGCATAGATATATTTGAAAACATCTCAAGATTAGGACTACTTTGTCTGAGCCTGTGCATGGTTTTCATTACAGATGACAAAATCATATTTTGTCTTGATGAAATTTAATAAGTGTAAAATGATATAGTCATTTTGATATTTGACTGTATGTCTCTGGATTTTGCAGCTGGAAGTACCACAATCTGTTTTCTCTAATTATGTCTGTCATAGAGATTTCAGAGTTTGCTGTCCAGTATCCTCCTCAGATATCTGTTCATGTTGTGAATCGCTTTCAAGTAAATTAACTCTTTGACACAGCGGAGGATCAAGATATTACATGAATTTCTGTGTGGCAGCTATGCTGGTCTGTCATTATTATAATAGCAATATGAGGACAATTTGAGAAAACATTATGTTTGTGGGCATCAATCCCATGCAGGTTAACACCCCACTCTAGTTCTGACAATGGAGGTCCAGTCACCTGGCTGTAAATCCCTTGCTCGGTTACCTTCTGCCTCTTCTGGAGTGACCTTTCTGAGCTGCTGATGGAGTGAAGCAGAGAGCCTTATCTTCCCTTGACAACCCAGGGAGTTGTGGAAATTAGGTGTTAATGGGACCCGTGCTTGCATCTGAGCATAGTGAGTAAATGGGCACTCTGCTACACTACATGGGATTGCAGACTCCATAAGTCCCCTTTTTCAACATTCCCCACACTGCTGAAGTCTGTATAATGTATTGTACATTCATACCACTAGAAATCAGATATTTAATCTACTTCAACAAAGAAAGCACACTTTTGCTAGTATTTTTGAATATAATTTATGGAAATACATATCAATACCAGCTATTGCTGCTCTTTCTTCCCCCCCATACTCAAGTTCCGCTGTCTCCTCTTGTCCCACTCCACAATCTGGGCTCACTTCTTTTTTCCCCTTTCTCCAAAATCCAGTCTCACAGTTACCTTCCTTATGCCCTAACACGTGTGGGAACAGACATCCTGGGAACACATAACATCAGAGAGTGTGCCAGGGGGGCAGGACTGGAGAGAGGACATTGCTAGAGTAGTAGTATGTTGACAAAGGGACCATGTCACCGCTGACCCTTAGCTGTGGGTCCTGTGGCTTGGTGTATGATGGCCTTGGGTTCAAGGACTAGCATACTGTTGAGGAGTTGTCCCATATCTGTTGTACTTCTTAGAAGAGGGATAAAGGGTAGATGTGTGAAGATGTGTAATTGTGCTCTGCACCAGTAAGATTGCTGCATGATAACGTAAATGCTGATGATAATTTGCACTAAAGATCTGCCAGCATGTCAGTGTTTTAATTGAAAAAGAAAAAATTGCAGTAAAGTGTTGAAAACATCTGTGAGTGGAAGTTCCTTTATTTCTATGTGCGCTTGTGGTTGGGGATGTCATGTGTGGGCCTATAGCCGGGAGATGTTGGACCCAAGGCAGGTATATGGTGGCTCTTTCCAAGAAAGAGCTGCGTAAGACCTACGACAGCTTGGCACCAATTGCTGTCCAATCCAAGTCCCCAGCCCAGGAAGATGGCTTTTAACCCCAAAAAGCAATACAGTAATAAAATTCATAGTTTCTAAAAAAGACCTGGTTTAAGAGGGAAGGATTTGGGTTTCTAGAGCACTGGGCTGAATTTTCATTGGGGTGCAACCTATATGCTAGAGATGGTTTGCACCTAAATGGAAGGGGAATCTGCTGTGCTGGGTGAGAGGTTTATGGGGAGGGAGCACGTGACTGGAGGAGTATTTAAACTAGGATCAAGGGGGGGAGGAGAATTCGATTATAATTGGGGTAGACAGATCAGACAGGGATCAGTTCCTAAATCATTGCGGGCATGCCTTTTTTCCATTCAACCATTGTTGGAATGGGGAAAGCTTTTATGCAGTGAAGAATGGGGGGAGAAGCTATGGCAGTAACACTGTTCAACTAAATTTTTTTTTTTATTTTGCTATGGCAGATAATAAGAAGGTTCCCATATTGCAATCAACCATTGGAATTCGTACCATTTGTACAAAAATAAAAAATATGCAAAATACGTGTGCACAAGGTGCAAATTAATTAAATTGTTTGTTCACCAATGCCAGAAAATGTCTGCCAAGCAAAATATTTGAGTTGGAAGCTTAGGGACAGGAACAGAACTATGATTTAATTGGTATTGTACTAAATATGCAAAATACGTGTGCTTTAATTCCTGCACATGACTGGGCCATTAATATTCGTGGCTTCATGGGGCTATATTCCTGTTCTGTTTCGGAGAGACAGGGTAAATAGGAAAGGTGGTGGGTTCTGTCTCTATGTGAGAAGTGATCTCAGAGCGAGTGTGAAAGAGGACTTAGTTGAGGAAGAGTGTGATGAGGCTGAAGCATTATGGGTGGAACTGCACTTGGGGGTGCATACTACAAAGGTAATCATTGGAGTTTATTATAGGCCTCCCAGTGTTAATGAGGAGGTGGAGACTCAGCTTCTTGCACAGATTGAAAGGGCTGCAAGGGCTGGGACAGTGACAATAATGGGGGATTTTAACTACCCAGAAAATGACTGGAGTAATGGCACTGCAGGAACAGTTAAAGGGCAAAAATTTATACACCTACTACAGGACATGTTTATGGTACAGTTCATAGAAGCCCCAACTAGGAATGATGCTCTGCTGGACCTGTTAATCTCAAACCATGCAGAGCTTATTGCGAATGTCCATATAAAGGAGAGGGAGTCCTAGGATAGCTGAGACTCCAGTGCACATTGCTGGATTGAGAGGGGGCATAGGTGAGTATTAGGGGGGATGAGGGAGCTGTAAGTTTCTTACCTTCATGCATAGAATGCGTAAAGATAAAAAACCTTGAGCCTTTACGACCCCTTTAATGTATACTTTAAAGAGGCCATAAAGGCTCAAGGTTTTTTATCTAAAGGCAAAACTTTTTCTTTTTAGTTTTGGAGAGAGTAGACAACGATTAGAACCCCTGTCAGTGTTTATTGCTGTCTGTACCCTAGTTAAGCAGATACACACTGTTTATTTGTCCAGTTTACCATTATCAATGAAATATAATAGAGGGAAAATCTTCCAATAGGGACACTAGTTCTGGTGACTTAGGGGTCCCCAAGGAATTCCCTTAACCACCTCCAGCCCGCCATATAAGGTAATGACGGCGCAAGGCGGTTCTCTTGTTCTGTCTGGGAGGACTTCATATGAAGATCTCCCACTCTAACTGCGCATGCGCGGCTCCAGGAGCACGTAGCGCGGCGATCGGTGGTGCGCTGTGTCCCTTGGACACAGCGGATCACTGATCAACAAAAAGAGCTGAAGATGTCGACTCGGTCATGTGATCAGCTGTGTCCAATCAAAGCTGATTGCATGTAAACAGGGAGATGCTGGTTATCGGCATTTCTCTCCTTACCAGCTGTCACGCTGACAGCTCGTGAGGAGTGGAGAGCCGGTAATCAGCATCCCTCAGAGGGGACATGTACACTGATCATCAGGGCACTGATTATCAGTGTGCCCTGATGATCAGTGTAGCCCCAGCAGTGCCACCTGTCAGTGCCCATCAGTGCCACCTGCCAGTGCCCATCAGTGCCTCACCAATGTCACATATCAGTGCCTACCAGTGCACATCAATGCCACATATCAGTGCCCATCGAGCTGCCTTTCAGTGTCATCTATCAGTGTCAGTCAGTGCCACCTATCAATGCCAGTCAGTGCCACCTATCAGTGCTGCCAATCAGTGCCACCTATCAGTGCCAGTCAGTGCCGCCTCTCAGTGCCAGTCAGTGCCGCCTATCAGTTCCACCTAACAGTGCCATATATGAGTGCTGCCTTTCAGTGCCCATCAGTGCCACCTACCAGTGCCTCCCCATCAGTGCCATCTATCAGTGCCCATCAGTAAAGCATATCAGTGCCCATCACTGCAGCCTCATTAGCGCACATCAGTGAAGGAGAAAAATCACTTATTTACAAAATTTTATAACAAAAACTAAGAAAAAAAAACATTTTTTTTCAAAATTTTCAGTTGTTTTTGGTTTGTTTAGTAAAAAATAAAAACCCAGAGGTGATTAAATACCACCAAAAGAAAGATCTATCTGTCTCAAAAAAAAAGGATAAAAATTTCATATGGGTACAGTGTTGCATGACTGCGCAATTGTCATTCAAAGTGTGACAGCGCTGAAACCTGAAAATTGGCCTGGGCAGGAAGGGGGTATAAGTGCCCTGTAGGCAAGTGGTTAATTTGCAGGGATTTCCTCTCACTTCCTGTTTGGCTATGGGACAGGAAGTGAAGGAAATCTCCCCAATGGGACACAGATGTCAAAAAAATATCCTCTCTTGCTCTATCCAAAATGAAAAAAAAAGGTTTTGCCTATATTTCTACTTTAATCACAGGGCTAATGACCTTGACTAGTAAAAAAGAAATTGTTCTGCAAGCAGCAGATTTTTCCCTATTTGTCAGTGGGCTTAATAAGTGATGAAGATGAATATATATTTGTGTAGCGCTCACGAGTGTACATAGTTTGTTGGTGTAGTTCTCCTGTACCTCCCCCTGCTCTAGAAGCTTGGAGAAGTTTCTATAAGCCAGTGGGTGGGGGCCAGGAGGAACTGATCTGCATATTCATGTGAGTCTGACAAACCCCAGGCAGGAAGCCTGGCAGTGTGGTAGACTGGCCAATAAAAAACTAGAGAGCCCGATTAGCAGGGGAGTCAGTTTGAAGATGGAATACTAAGGAATTTTGCTAGAGGGAGCTCCACTGCCTTACAGTCCACCACGGAAGGACAGCCTGTTAGCCTGGAAGGAAACCAGCCCAGCAAAAACCTGAAAGTAGTTCAGCCAAAGCTGCAGGACACAAGGACAGTGTTAGTGCCTCTTCAACCCCAGGGCCTACAGAGACTGTGTTGCTGATCCATGAAGAGACTGATGTCACTGCAGAGGGAGCAGAAAGTCCAGGATCCTACATTTTGTGAAGTTTGTCCTTGTTTGTATCAACTCAAGTTGGGCATCCCATATACCCCATATATAGACCTTATCCCATATATCCCATATAGACCTTATCCAAGTTGTTTATCCCCAAATAAAACAACAATAACAAGCCCATGGACTGGTTACTGACTATGAATGCAAGTTGGAAAATGTCTGTTGACTGGCTGTGCAGGACATAAAGGGGTCACAAAACCAGCGGCTCACAAGGGGACTGCATTTGCAATAATAATGTAATAAGCTTGTCATTGCATATTTATACTATACTGTATATAACATATTTGTGCAACTTGTCTTTTGTTCTAACTCTGAAACAGCCAAACCCCCAATGTACTTTTTATTTTCTAGTATCTGCCACTGCTTCAAGGTAAATCTATTGCTATGATATTTGAAAAGAGAAGTACAAGAACCAGACTTTCTACAGAAACTGGTAAGAGTTGTTATTTTATTTCTAATGCAGATGTCTCAATTGTCTTTAGCCAGTGGCTTACAGCCTTTATGTTTTTCAAAGCAACATATGCCATTGCTCAGTACAGCCTCCTAGCATGTGCTTAGTGGCTGTCTTTTGTAACATCTATTATTCAGGCAATATACCAACCTCATGGTATTAAATGATATATTGTATCTTTAATTTTTGGTTGGTACTGTCACAGTATCAACATGGGGTTGGGGTAAGGGGGACAAACTGATTACACACTGCATTGAATCAGTATCCACAACACTGCACAGTCACAGTACTACTGTGAACACATGGATGTGAATGTGTCCCATAGGAAACCATGTTAAATGAATTGTAGTGTAAAAATGCACAGGTGTTTACAATGTACTTATATAGAACTGTCAATATATATATATATATATATATATATATATATATATATATATATATATACTGTATATATATATATATATATATATATATATATATACTGTGTATATATATATATATATATATATATATATATATATATATATATATATATATAAAACATTCACATCAGTCCCTAACCCTCAGGGAGTGTACAATCTAAAGTCCCTAACTTACATTCATACATACACATACTAGGGCCAGTTTTAGACAGAAGCCAATTAACTTACCAGCATGTCTTTGGAGTGTGGGAGGAAACCCAGAAGAAACCCATGCAGGCACAGGGAGAACATGCAAACTCCAGGTAGGTGGTGCAGTGGTTGGGATCTGAACTGACGACCTTTGTACTGCCAGGTGGAAGTGCTAACCATTTAGCCACGGTGCTGCCCTACTGATCTACTCTGATATACTCTTTCTTCTGATTATCTGTCTCAGATTATATTTTTACTACCTATTGCTTTTTTCAGTCTCCTGTCCATACTATATTGCCAAAAGTATTGGGACACCTGCCTTTCAATGCACATGAACTTTATTGGGTTCCCAGTCTTAGTCCGTAGGGTTCAATATTGAGTTGGTCCACCCTTTGCAGCTTTAACAGCTTCAACTCTTTCTGGGAAGGCTGTCCACAAGGTTTAGGAGTGTGTCTATGGGAATGTTTGACCATTCTTCCAGCAGCGCATTTGTGAGGTCAGGCACTGATGAAAGACAAAAAATCCTGGATCGCAGTCTCTGCTCTAATTCATCCCAAAGGTGTTCTATCGGTTTGAGGTCAGGACTCTGTGCAGGCCAGTCAAGTGCCTCTACCCCAAGCTCGCTCATCCATGTCTTTATGGACCTTGCTTTGTGCACTGGTGCGCAGTTCTGTTGGAACAGGATGGGGCCATTCCCAAACTGTTCCTACAAAGTTGGGAGCATGAAATTGTTCAAAATGTCTTGGTATGCCGACGCCTTAAGAGTTTTCTTTATTGGAACTAAGGGACCAAGCTCCACCCCTGAAAAACAACCCCACACCATAATCCCCCCTCCACCAAACTTTACACTTGGCACAATGCAGCCAGGCAAGTACTTACTGTTCTACTGGCAACCGCCAAACCCAAACATATCCATCGGATTGCCAGACAGAGAAGTGTGATTTGTCACTCCAGAGAACACGTCTCTACTGCTCTAGAGTCCAGTGGCGGTGTGCTTTACACCACTGCATCCGACACTTTACATTGCACTTGGTGATGTAAGACTTGGATGCAGCTCATTGGCCATGGAAACCCATTCCATGAAGCTCTCTACGCATTGTTGTTGTACTAATCTGAAGGCCACATGAAGTTTGGAGTTCTTTATTTATTGCCTCTGCAGACAGTTGGCGACTTCTGCACACTGTGCACTTCAGCATGTGCTGACCGCGCTCTGTCATTTTACGTGGCCTACCACTTTTTGGCTGATTTGCTGTTGTTCCCAGTTGTTTCCACTTTGTTGTAATACCACTAACAGCTGACTGTGGAATATTTAGTAGCAAGGAAATTTCATGGATTGACTTATTGCACAGGTGGCAACCTATCATGGTACCATGCTTGAATGCATGGTACCATGATAGGTTGGTACTCTTTTATTTAAATTACCTTTTTGTGGACAAATGTTTTTATCCTGTATAACCCAAAAGTTTAAACACTTGGGTTTTCCATCATGTTTGTTCCGAACATTCCTACAAACTGGTTGTTTTTAGCAAAACATTATCAACATGTTCCAAGATTCTTCTTCCTAATTTTCTAATTGTATTTCCCACATAGAAAAGGGTTCAAGAGTAGCTTGCTACATACATCACTTTGATGGTTTGGTGAAACTTATTTTTATTATTATTCTGATATTTTTTTTTTTTGTAAATTCTTTCATATTACAATGACAGCAGTGGAAAAATCCCACTGGTCTTTGAGGTAACTATGAGACTAGTTTTGCTATTTCTCATTTGTCCTTTTCTAGATGTCCCTTAGATTTTTAGCTTGCCTGTATGTCACATTGGGATTTTTGATAATATTTGCTTCAGGTTCTTATCTTTCAACAGGATACACTAGTATATTTCAGAATACTAAAAACCTTTACAGACTGAGATGAATATAGCATAGTGTCTTCACTTTTTTCTAGCAAGGATTCCCAAATTATCTCTTCAACTTTTTAAAAATATACTGTATTACTATATCTTGCTTTGGATATCCTCTTTCTGAGAATCCTTTGTACAATATTTTACTACAAAATCTTCTGAGGAACTACACTTTACACACATAAATTATCTTGTAGGAATTCCCATTTTCAAGGACTTAGGATGATGACTTTCCCAGGTTAATAGGCTGTTTGTAGAAGTAGACTTTCTAGAAATAGTAATATTTATTCCATCATTCTCATCTTTTCTGATCAACAAATTCTAAAAATAATTGGGTTTTATGTGTCTGAATGACCTTGGTACATAAACTCATATAATTTTAATGCTGTATTGTACTTTATTTGGCTCATATATTCTATAACAGTGGTTCTTAACCTGGGTTCGATCGAACCCCAGGGGTTCGGTGAGTCAGTCTCGGGGGGTTCGGCGGAGGTGACCCACACCCGACTCATATGATTTGTGATGACATGCCTCGCTTGTCCATCATTGGCTGCAGGTGGTCACGCAACATCGCTTAGCCCAGTGGTCGGCAAGCACGCGGCTCTTGTGTGCCGGGCGCCCGCTCCCCTCCCTCCTCTCGGGCGGCAGGGACTCAAATGCAATGATTGGCCAGTCTCGCTGCCACTCACATCCTGATAGCCAGTGATTGGCTGTCAGGATGTGTGTAGGCGGGGCAGCGTAACGAACGTGAGAGGAGCTAGGCTCCTTTCACAGTCCGCCCTGAAGACCGGAACGGCGCGGGAATACAGCGAGAGGAACGCGCGGAGCAAAGGTAAGTGAATTGACACAGGGGGGACTTGGGGACTTAATATGGGGGATGAATTAATATGGGGAATTAATTACTATAGGGGGGATGAATTACTATATGGGGGATGAATTACTATATGGGGGATGAATTATTATATGGGGGATATATTACTATATGGGGAATGTATTACTATATGGGGGATGTATTACTATATGGGGGATGTATTACTATATGGGGGATGAATTACTATATGGGGGATGTATTACTATGGGGGATGAATTACTATATATGGGGGTATGAATTATTATATGGGGGATGAATTACTATATGGGGGATGTATTACTATATGGGGGATGTATTACTATATGGGGGATGAATTACTATATGGGGGATGTATTACTATGGGGGGATGAATTACTATATGGGGGATGAATTACTATGGGGGATGAATTACTATATGGGGGATGAATTACTATATGGGGAAGGAATTACTATAGGGGGGATGAATTACTATATGGGGGGATGAATTACTATATGGGGGGATGAATTACTATGGGGGATGAATTACTATATGGGGGATGAATTACTATGAGGGGGGATGAATTACTATATGGGGGATGAATTACTATATGGGGGATGAATTACTATATGGGGGATGAATTACTATATGGGGGATGAATTACTATATGGGGGATGAATTACTATGGGGGATGAATTTTCATACCGTTTGTTACAACATATCTTTGCGAGCAATCCTTTTCGAGGATGCTGGACATAAAGACGAAGAAAAGGAACAGACTTTGTTGCGAAAATGACATGAGAGTGGCACTTGCCAAGGTAATGCCGCGCATTTCTGAACTGGCCTCTGAAAGACAACAGCAGAAGTCACACTGATTTGCGGTAAATATTCATTATTTTGTTTTTGTGTGAAAATCATGTTTTAATGGTTTTGTTCTTTGTTCTTAATGGTTTTGTTCATTTTGTGCACCTATGTATAAATATATACCTATGTTTTGAATTTTAAAAATCATATTTTATTTTTCCAATTAAGAAGGGTTCGGTGGATGCGCATATGAAACTGGTGGGGTTCAGTACCTCCAAAAAGGTTAAGAACCACTGTTCTATAATAATGTGCTCATGAGTCAGGGACCTTTGTTATACTGGAACCCAAACAAAACAGTACATTACCCTTTCAAAGAACAAAATCTCATTTGTGAGTAACTAAAAAGAAAATATTTTGTCATCCTAAACTGGGATGACCGAAGGCTACCTTATGAAGCAAAGAAAGGGGGTACAAATGTTTTAATTTTTGTAAGGAGTAAGTAAATCAATAGTTTTACATTTTTTTAATAAGGTACAGCTTCTTCAAAACAATAACCCGTAGCAACCAGACTTCAACTCTAAGCAGTTTGAATCGAAACCTTTGAATTATTTTGATTAGCTGATAAAGATTACTGTACCTTACACAATGTTCTTTACCTTAATAAATACACATGCCATTAGTATTCAGTGACATAAAATAAAGGTTAATAGAACTCATGAATGTAAGGTAAGTTAAAGGATTGTTAGAGTTGAAAAGAAAAAAAAACTATAATAATAATTGCCAGCACAATATGTGCCTCATGTATAGCTGTGTTAAATTATTATTTAGGTTGCAAAGTATGGCAATTCTACAGTTTGATCACTTTGCATAGTAAAACGAAAACCAGCCTGCCTACAATGCTAGCCTATTTCTGTTTATGTTATGGGCAATTGTTATTCTGATTTTCTCTCAACTGAAAAAAAAAAAATGTCACTTTGGGTTACAGGCAGATGTTTTACAAATACCCTGTTCACCTACAGGGAACCATAATGTTTTATGTAAAATTTTGTTTCATTTTTATTATATTCACCTTTTTATCTATAAGAAGCTTATTGACATAGAAGACAACAAATAATACAATTATATAACAAAAGGGGATACCATTCTCTAACCCTGGAGCAGGGAGAACAAAGACTTAGTACATTGATGCCAATTGGTAAAACAATATCACATTCCTGATATATCAACGAAGAAAATAAAACTATAAAGCAAAAAAAAATTCATACTCTCCCAACCTTCCCCTGTCCCTGTAGGCACCCAACCGAAATGCCATTCTCCAAGCGGATTAATTAGTATAGTACCAACATAGGGAATCCCCTAAAAGAACGGAAGAGATATTGTGTAACCTATACTGACCTATACTAACACTATATTGACAAACGTATTGGGACACCCCTCCAAATCACTGGATTCAGGTGTTCTAATCGCCTCCATGGCCAGTGTATCCGCATCCTCTTTCTCTTCATCATCCTTATCCTCGTCTTCTTCTCTGCAGCCCGCATCCTATCTTCTTCTTCTCATCCCTCAAATCAAACACCTAGGCATACAGACTGCTTCTACAATCTTTTGTGAAAGAATGAGTCACTCTCAGGAGCTCAGTGAATTCAACCATGGTACTGTGATAGGTTGCCACCTGTGCAATAAGTCCATCCATGAAATTTCCTTGCTACTAAATATTACAACTGTTTGTGGTATTATAACAAAGTGAAAACAACTGGGAACAGCAGCAATTCAGCCACAAAGTGGTAGGTCATGTAAAATAACAGAGCGCGGTCAGCGCACGCTGAAGTGCATAGTGCACAGAAGTTGCCAACTGTCTGCAGAGTCAATAGCTAAAGACCTCCAAACTTCGTGTGGCCTTCAGATTAGCACAGCAACAGTGCATAGCAAGCTTCATGGAATGGGTTTCCATGGCCAAGCAGCTGCATCCAAGCCTTACATCACCAAGTGCAATGCAGAGCATCGAATGCAGTGGTGTAAAGCACGCCGCCACTGGACTCTAGAGCAGTAGACACATGTTCTCTGGAGTGATGAATCACGCTTCTCTGTTTGGTAATCTGATAGACTTGTCTGGGTTAGGCAGGAGAATGGCACTTGCCTGACTGCGTTGTGCCAAGTGTAAAGTTTGGTGAAGGGGGGATTATGGTGTGGGTTTGTTTTAAGGGGTTGGGCTTAGCCCCTTAGTTCCAATGAAGGGAACTCTTAAGGCATCAGCATACCAAGACATTTTGGACAATTTCATGCTCCAAACTTTGTGAGAACAGCTTGGGTATGGCCCCTTCCTGTTCCAACATGACTGCTCACAAGTGCACAAAGCAAGGTCCATAAAAACATGAATGAGCGAGTTTGGGGTGGAGGAACTTGATTGGACTGCACAGAGTCCTGACCTTAACCCGATAAGGGAGAGGTGAGGATGTAGGTAGAGGAAATAGAAAGAAGAAACGGAGCACAGAAAAGTGGCGTGGATCACCAAGAGTTTCTGTCAGTCTTGCCAAAGCAGCTACACAAAAGACTGAGACTGAGCTTCATCCATGGAAATTAAATGTGAAGCCATGCCAGGTCCCCCCGGGGGACAGGAAACTTCAGAAAATGCTAGAAGATATGCCATGGCAATTGGCATTCTCCTGACCCCCCTTCCCCCCAGAGTCATCCAGCACTCCCCAAGTCAATGGCACCATCTTTAAAAGACCTGGATATTTGCAACAACCATGTAAACCATAAGGCCAAGCCCTGTTATCTTGCAGAAGACATGACCTGAATATACTGAGATGTAGTTTTGAAGTGGATCCAACAGGCCCACGTTTTCATGAAGGAGGACATTCCATCCTGCGCTACATGAATCAGTTCCTCCATTTCTTCT